AACAAGATGAACACCGAATTCATAAAAGTAGTTAATTCAGTTGTGGCAATATATAAAAGAAAGATTGCAATAAGGATATAGTACAGGAAGAAAGAATTAGTCGGTAGAAAGAAAGATATGAAGTGATTTTAATCTCTTAGTTTAAGGGAGAACAGAGAGTGTATACACCGACGCCATTGTGATCGATTCTGAGCCATGTCATCAAGAGTCTCCAACCATTGGTTACGATAGTCACGCACACCCCAACCAAGTAGTCTGCATCTCCCAACATGGCTAAGACTAGAAGTTAGTAACTTCAATGACTGATGCCACGTTTTGGCGGCTTACGGGTATCTTCTACTCTTAATGGTCACGTTTCGCAGCCGTAAAGTAAAACAGAACGAACTGCTGCGCAGTATACCCGTCCTTTTATTGATAGACGGATATCTCGCCTTCGCCAAAGGTGACGCAAGTTGGCAAGAGCCAAGCGAGCTTTTCGAATCCGTGCAGAGATTTCGTCAGATACCAACCCACTAGGGCTGATCAGACTTCAGAGATAAGTGAAGTTGCCAACACGTTCGACTACTTCACTCCCTATCCTTAGTTCAGGTGTTGACGCAGACCAGTCCTGGAGCAACAACTTGCATTTAGAGGGAGAGAAGCGCATTCCAAACATTCTGGCATTGTTGCTCAGTGCTACCAAAACTCTGCATTTTGTCAGCGTCTTCACCAAACAGGACTATGTCATCTGCGTATTCTAAGTCGTTAAGTGGACCTCCTGAATGGAGATCAATACCCGAGAACTCAGTCGACGAGAATGTTATTTCCGTTAGTAGGTCTATGATGAAGTTAAACAAAAATGGAGAAAGTGGACAGCCTTGACGGACACCACTTGAAGTTGCAAAAGCAGATGACAGTTCTTCATAAGCTCTGACTCGACTGGCAGTGTTCGAGCGAAGAGCCTTCACAAGGTTTATGTACTTCTGAGGTACGCCTTTCAATGACAGACACTGCCACATAATCTCGCGATCTACCGAATCAAATGCTGCCTTTAAGTCAAGAAAGACCACCATTGTCGGACGCCGATTAGTATGCCTATGTTTTAGAACCTGACGAATGGTGAATATGTGTTCGATGCAGCCACGACCAGGTCTGAAGCCAGCTTGGTTCTCTCATGTTTGCAGTTCACGAGTCTTAGTTAGGCGTCTGATAATTATCGAGGCTAGTGTTTTAGATACTACATTAGTTCAACTAATCTCTCTATGGTTGTCACAGGATGATTTTAACCCTCTATTATATATTGGGACGATAAGTGATTGTGAGCAGTCAGATGGAATAACGTCTAACTCTCAGTTCTTAGCTAAAATATTAGTCAACCTAATCGCTAAAATTGGACCACCATCATTAAACACCTTTGGAGCCAGCTGCCCTTTATCGTTTCATATTAACTATAGCCTTTTCAACTTCTGCTAGAGTTGGGGGACCTACTTCAATGTTCCATTCACACTGTCTGGGAATGGAGGGTAGTTGTAGAGTAGCTGAAGGCCAGTTGAACTCTTCTCTGAAATGTTCGGCCCATCGTTCTAAACGTCTGAACTGAGAGCAGATGAGAGTGTCGTCTTTTTCCGAGATTTCCTCATCGTGTTCAGAGCCTGATGGGATGAGTTTACGAGAATCAATCAGTGCAATAGACCTTGAGGAAATCCATTGGTTCTTTGTAACCCTGTGGCTTAAACCATTGACAGATGTCACTGTTGTTTCCACAGCTGCTTGTATACCCACCTAAATGCCTTTTTGTTTGGTTTAAACTACCTTTTTGGGCATTAAAGTCACCTGCTACGAGTACTATGTCTGAACGTTTGGCTTTCTGAAGAAGTTCAGATAGCTTTCTGTAAAATTCATCTTTCACTTCATCTGAGCTGCAGTCGGTGGGAGTGTAGGCAATGAGGACATCTTATTCAAATTCATGGCTGAGATTGCCTGTCAAACAGTTGCGCCGGCTCGTCCTAACATATGGAAGGCAGATATGTAAGCAATTAACTCCGCAGCATCGTCTGAGAACTGGGAAATTGACTCAAAGGCATCAATACAAGAGGCATGGACTCTATTCAGACAGTTATACAGTCGGGTAACTCAACCATACATACCCTTTACTGTCCCAAAGAAAAAGATGCACGGACATCCCCGGATAGGGCGGGATATTCGACGCTTACTAAGACAAAAGAAGAAATGCTGGGATGTTGCCATCCGCCCTGGGACAGCAGGTGCGATGGAACGCTACAGGTCGATAAGAAACGAGTGTATAACGAAAATTCGGGAAGCTCAAAGAAAATATGAAATGCAGCTGGCTTAATCTGCATTCAAGCAGCCCAAGAGAATACATAAACTACAGAACAAGGATGCATCATTGGACTTCCAACCTAATTAAAGTAGGAAGTAAATAGGAAATGTTAGAGGAAGATCAGGAAAATACAGAGGCTATGGCTGACTATGTTGGGGCAGTTTTCACTCAGAAACTTCCTCTAGAGAAAGAACCAGACCCAAGTACAGAGTCAACAAACCACCTGCTCACCGTGGACTTCGACCAAAACGATATGCTTAGGGCTCTTGGCACCCTAAACATGGAGAAGTCAACAGGACCAGATGAACTACACCCCAAAATCTTGAGACATATTGCCCATTATGTCGCGGCCTCACTGACTGTGATATTCAAAATGTCACTTGACCAAGGTGTGTTACCTATGGACTGGAGGGACAAAATCGTCACTTCCATACATAAAACAGGTCCACGACAAGTTCCATCGAATTACAGACCCGTAAGCCTCACCAGTGTTGTAATTAAAATACTGGAAAGAATAGTCAAACGGACCACGACGGCATTTATGAAAACCAATAACATGGCACAACATGGTTTTAGAAAGTCTATCCTGTACAACGGACCTCCTTATAGCTAGGGAGTTCTGGATAAATGCGCTAGACAACGGAAACTCAGTGGATGTTGTCTACATAGATTTCAGTAAGGGTTTTGACAAGATGCCAACTAATAGACTGCTATTGAAGTTGGAAAACCTTGGCATTGCCGGACCTCTTTTAAAATGAATTAAAGATTTCCTAGTAGGTCGTAGACAAAAAGTAAGAATAACTTCCAAGTGCTCCATCTGGAGACCAGTACTTAGTGGAGTACCCATGGTACCGTCCTAGGTCCTTTACTTTTTATAATGTACGTCAATGATCTTACAAGTATAGTACAGTCTCCAATGTTATTATACACTGACGATGTAAAAATTTGGCGAGTAATAACTGGAGACAAAGACGCATTTACTCTTCAGGCAGACTTAAATAATATGATAAACTGATCTAAAGAGTGACTGATGCCTATCAATGAGGCAAAGTGTGTCTACATGCACTTTGGGGATTCAAGGGTTAATAAGTACAAAATAGGGGATGTGTCATTGCCCGTAGTTCGGTCTCATAAGGATCTAGGGGTGACAGTGAGTAATGATCTTAAGACGACGGCCCATTGCCGGGATGTCGCAGCTGAGTGGTTTCGAAACCTCTGGGCTTTGAAAAGGACATTAACTAAGTTAGATACTACTGTAGCGTGGGGTCGAGTCGCGGTTGACTATGAGCACTACTACAAAGGAACGCGTGCCAGGATATCCATAAAATCGTCCGGAAGCCAAATATCAGAAGGCAATTAATGGACCAAATCGAGATATATTCGCTGGCGATCTCGTGGTATCGAAAGGATACCAAGATCGTGCCAGGATACAAGCTTGGTTACAGAACGTAACCGAATTCGCGCGAAGTCACAATCAAAGTGTAAGAATAATGGATGTTTTTAGCACAGTTAAACAAAAGCACACTAAAACAGTCACTGGTACAATTGGTTATAGTAATTGTTTTCAACAAACCAATCGTGTTTCTCGTGATAAAAGTGAGGCATTACACTACCATGTTCACCACAGTATACACATCCTTAGTGAAAACTAAGCTAGATAACTGCGTTCAGGCTGCAAGCCCCTGCTTAAAAGGTGACTCGGACATACTAGAAAAAGTACAGAGGGCAGCTACCAGTGCGATTCCGGAAATCCGGGGTTTATCATACAAAGAGCGACTTGGAAAACTGGACCTCTTTACACTGTCCTATCGCAGACTAAGGAGATACCTAATTTTGACGTACAGAATACTGATAAATGATTTCGGACCTAACTTATTCTCTCCCTTTCTTCCCACTAGATCGGGGCACCTCGGAGGACATAGCAGGCGAGTAGAAAAGCCAAGAACGAACAAAATACCCGTGGCATACAGGTTTTCACACCGAGTCATCAATACTTGGAACCTGCTGCCTGAAGCAGTGGTGTCCGCACCTTCAATTGACTCTTTCAAGAGAAGACTGGACACTCACAGAAACATAGTAGAAAAGGAATAACATAGGCCGTAGGCCTTCTGTCCTTACTACACAAATCTGAATCTGATAATCAATGAAGGCACTTATACGGAGATACAGCTGATTCGGTTGCAGCTGAGATCCTGGCGGATGCGTCAATGTGACGTAACTTCGAGTCTGAGCCGATGGCAGGTCAAATAAGGGTTGGAACAATACTCAGCGTTGTCACGTCAACTGAGTGTATCGCAAACCATAACAATGGTCTAATTTACTTTCATGTAGTCAATTAATTTGTCATATTGTGATGTAATGTTTATTAACAAACTATATGATGCTGTGAATTTTGCTACGACTGTATCTTTTATTCACTACGCAAGACTGAGTTATTCTGAACATCGTTGCATGCTGCGGTTTAATTCCAACCTCAGATACGGAATGGTCGCCATGACCTTAGCTATTCAACGTCGAACGAACGAATGAGGGAAATTTAGAACATTCTTCGTTACTTGAATGATGGACGTTACTAGACATAGTGTGGCTGAACTGAATTCAAATCCAGAAATGTCTTGATTTCACTGCTTCTGCAAAACTCCTCGAACTGTCGATGTGACGCGCCAATCAACTTACAACAGTTTGACCTTCAAGTGCTCGCAACTTCCGTCAATGGACGATACCATTGAAGCGTTGCTAACATGCTGCTGTAACACGTTACTTTATGAACTTTTTAGACTACTGTAAAATATCTATGGTGTTAATTAGTATTTATATCCGAAGTGCTGTATCTGGTTAGAATACTACTTTTGTTCATGTTAAGTTCTTAAAGTTGCTTTTTGGTACACCAATCATTGCTCGTCCCCGAGCTCCCGATTTCAGGGAAAATTTGGCACATTTTGAGGAAATTTTGGGGTTTTTGTGCTATTTCACTTTGGGGATTTCTCCAAAATTGCCCGAAATTTCACCAAAGTTGGGAGCTTGGGAATCTCCCCATTTCGGGGGAATGTTGGAGAAATCCCCAGAATTTTGTGCCACTTCTCCAGAATTTTTTATAGCGGCTTCCCAAAAATGAACAAAATCTTCCCCGAAACAGGGAGCTTGGGGTATTAGTGGTTCTCATTGTTGGTTAGTACCAACAATATAATCAACAACCATATATGGGATCTTGAGGAAAAGTGATAAAGAAATGTTTGCTATTTTCCATAGACCAATGACACAATCATCCACATCAATAAGTATGCAAACACTAACGTCATTTGACATTAGGATTGCAATCAAAAGTGTTCTGAAACGAGACTTGACATCATGGGGGTAAGCCGTTGAACTTTTGCAGAAAGTTAGCTTATGTATTTCATAATACTCATAGTTAACTTCCACACATTATATAGTAGGGAAGTGAAAATTAAGTAGAGATAAACCAGATGTACGTTACCATTGGGTAGTGATGTGTTAAAAGACACTACTTCTATCTAACCCATTTCAGTTGTCAGAAACGGATCCCTACTACTTTAGTTTCTGTATGAGTGTATGTGACTGTGATGAAAATGGAGCCGAGTTTCAGTCTGTTCTACTGACTTTTTTGTCTTCATTGAACAGTCATTGAAATGAATATCGGAGCGACATTCTGAGTCACTTTTATCTAATATAATATTTAGTTGGTCAATGAGTTAACTTCGTGGTGTATTCTATTCAATTTTTCAGGTTCTGAATAGTTTGTGTGTTGAATAGTTATTCGAGTAGATGGTTTCAAGCAAGCTGAATGTGTTTTGTGAGTGTCATATCCATATAGTATTAGGATATTTATGGCGATAACTGTATATGCGTTTGTTAAATATGCTGTTTTTCTTATGCTCTCGCGTGTACACTTGTGTGAAACACTTGTTTTGTACTGTCATTTCTACACATAAAAATTAAATGCCAACATCGTTTTTATTCTTTGTAAGGACCAGTTTACTTTATTTATTGTTTTTGGGATTAGTTTTCTCGACCTTTACTCCGAACGGCTGCTGGTAATCATTCCCGATGTTTTGCATCTACTCGTTCTGAGAAGCCTTTTTTTATTACATGTCCAATATTTTACGTCAATGCAAGTAAGTTATTAGATAGATTATGGACTTTTAATAAGCATTCTAGCCAGTTCTTATGACTAGATGGACTGACTCCACCTATATATAATTAAACCTTAAGAGGCAGATTCCTTATTCTTGGATAGATATATGACTAAATGTTATTTTGTTATCAGTCTGTTTCAAATGAGCTTTGAAACAGTAAAATGTTATTTGTGTTGATTTGAAGGCGATATATATGTATTGCAAATTAAAGTGTTTAATTTAGGAACCATGAGTTTTACTTATATGGAATGAGTGTATTTTGAGCATATATATATTTGCAAAATGCATGTGGTACGGAGATGTACTGGAAGTGTTCACTTTATCTTTAACGTCATAGTTTAAAACACCTATTACGTGCATTATTGTTGATAGGAGTGATTAGAAGTACTAGACATCTTCACAGCATAACTAGTGTTTCTGTTTGGAAATACTGTCCAGTAGTGAATAGTTAGGCTTCTCTACTGTGGCTAGTCCTTAGTTGGGTTCTATGAGTGATTAAACTATAGATATCATAACGCTCTGGTATGCAAAAGTTATTTTCTAATGCTTCATTCCACTAATCATAACAAAATTATTGTGAGATAACAGCTTTTCTCTTTATCTTTTCACAGCGATCGATGAACGGTCGTAATAAACATAATATAATCGTAAATAAATACTTATTTTCAATTTACAACAAGTGTAGTTGGTTGGTTGTAATGATGTAGTTTCGTTCTCGGTAGGGTTTTTATGTCTTTCATCAGCCTCAACTGTCACCGTATCAATTAGTGTTAAACTTGACATTAGTGCCTGGTCCTTCATTCCCATGTCTATCGGTTGATGAGATGGTTTGAGCATTTACTTCCAAATTTCCTGACAGATCTTCGGTACCATAGGAGTTTGTCACTTAGAAATAGCATTAGGTGTAAACTATAGATGGCCGTACACACTTCAAAGACGTATTTTTAATGGACGGCGACGATACGGTTTGCATATAAGTCGAAAAAGGTGTCTTATGTTTTCTCTTGACTGGGATGATTAAATGTTAAGGATCTTCGAAACTGCTCGTCGTTTATTGGAAAAATGTGAAATATTGTCGACATTTTACTGATGTTAACTGCTAGCTTTATCTCTGTTTGAAAAGCTGCAAATCTGCTGCCTATGCTTGTTTTAAATTACATTTTTCTAGTACAATAAGACAAAAATAATGTGTACCATTCATTCGATCAAAGCTTGTTAGAGTATAACGTGAGAAATGAAAAAGCGAAGCAAAAAGACATCATTCAGAGGATATCAACGTAATAAGTTCTAAATTTCATATAATATCAAGGGTTATTGTTTTTATTAAAGTAGCATCGTCTTTGGCCTATGTCATTTAAGTTTTTCAGTCATCTGTTATGATATTTTTACTGTTCATAACCAAGTAGTTTTCACTGTCTTTTACAACCAGGTCTGATAGTAAATTTATAGAACAACTGCCTTTTATTTTACCTCATCAGTTTAAGGTTCTTATTCGGCACAATCCGCCTAGAACGTATAGTGAAATAAGTTTATTTTCTTAAAGATTATTTGGAGGATAGTTCATATGTCTTGAGTAGCTGTACGAGTTATCTAGATCTTTACATGAAGTTATTAGTTTCATTTTCATTTGTACTCCAAGTATCATCTAGATAGTTTGGTAGTAATTCATTCGAGTTTCTCTCCTACCCACATAAATTTTCTGGAATTTTCACTCATCTCAATTTAAATATCTCTTCCAATTATTAGAACCTCATTTGGGTCATGCATATACCACATGTTTAGCTGACGCTTGGGCAAGATATAGTTGTTTGCGTAATCAGTCAATACTGAAACCTTTCCAACAAGATTATATTGCATTCACTTATTCTCCTGTGTTTGATTACTGCAATCTCAATAAAACGTTCTTGTCTTGTGGGACTGATGAACATGGATCTAAAGTGAGTCGTCTGTGAAATTCACTTCATACTTCATCCTTGTTTTTAAACTTGTTTGGTTTGCTTTTCACGCTCTATCACAATAATCCCTTCAACTCTTTTCACATTTCTTATAATGGATACACTGGCTTTTCCGCCTTTCCATCTCTGCAGTTGAAATAACAAAAGACCAGATATGTAGCCACTGGTGACTTTTATTATGATAACTTGTAACTCACTTGTATAAACAAGACTAAGACGTACAAATAGCTAAAGTATTTTTACCATAAAAATGAGTTATTTATTAGTCTAGTTACCAGGTATAGATTCATATACTTGGCTATGAGTTACACTTGAAGTGTAAAGACTGGTGATAATACCCGGTTGCCTAAACTGAAGTAGATAGGACAGGTTTCAAATCTTCAACTTATTGTCTGATAGTCGAATGCCTTAACCATTGATCTACCTCCATAATAAAAGTGCACAACTTATCTACCGGTTTATTTGTAATCGGTTGAAGATGCAACAATAACAGTCAAAAATAGTTTATCATGAAAACGGTATACAGATAAAAAACGCCTAATGGTAAATATCCGTTTAAAATATACAGGCAAACCATTCATATTTATCCCTCCATGTCTCTTAACAACATTAATAATTTTTAGATGATATAAATTGGACTTATACTCACCACAATGTTAACATTTAGCACTGAAAACGAAACTTAACAATTATATTATATCTTTAGTATGAAGTGTCTAAAGAGTTTTCGTCTTTTTACGGTTTATATCACGAGCTGATCTTATTTTTACACAATTATTGAGAACCAGGAGACACTGAATAATAGTTCCATTTTAGTATAGGATTCTTCAGCAGTACGCGTCTGGATCCTCACTCTATGGAAACCTGAAAGTGCTGGGTTTGATCTTCAGTAGGGTGGCAAATGCGCACTTCTGGGGAGTCCCGTGGTTTGTGTCAGTTTGTCGGTAAACACTTACGTTTCACTGATATGAACAGGATCAACCTAAACCCTTACACATATATATTCTTGTATCATATCCTTCAGCAGCAAGACAAAACAAGAAGTACTAGGTTGTTTTACTGTTGATTGGAATAGTTCACTAAATTATCGGAACAACTTGAGTGTTATTTCTCGGTCTGGTGTTTTTTGTTTCTACTTATATGGGCGAACTGTGTAGCTTTCTTATTTCTATCCAGTTGATATTGAATGAAGTGTCTCTGTACACTTCTTTTTCATTTTCAGGTTCGCCGGGCTGCAACTGTCAATAATCTTGATCCATTGCAGTATTGTGATCGAATGAGTCCTTTGTTTGAGGTATTTATTTTTTAACCATTTTGAAGATGTGTATTCATGTCTGTGCCTGTATTTACCAGTGAAAACTGGTTGTGAAATGTTAGTATCTGTAAATGTTGGTGATTGCATTTTTTTGTGCATATGACAGACGAGATCAATCATGATAAAGACATGAACAAGTTGTGCTGATGAACTCTGTAGCACTATTCGTCCCCCTGATAAGATATTTCACAATCCAAAAAATTTTGGCGAACAGAGTTCGAAATTTTCGATAATATGTGAACTGAGCCATGTTAATAGGTGTAGATCTACCTGGTTGGGATCAGTGTGATTATTGTGACCAATGGTTAGAGACTGGGTGACATGGCTCACAATCGTTGCCCTTCTAAGTTTCTAAATTCCTCATAAATTTATCCTATTAGTTCACTAATGTATCTCAAATCGTATTTTCGATGCCTAGTGTTTTCTACCAGCACTAATGATGTTACTACCTCTACTATTTTGGGATTTGCTCCAATAATTTCATCTAATTGTGCTAATGGGATATGGCAACTTGAACTGACGTACATACGCACCAGGTCGTAGGTTGCTTATGATTGACTGTCCTCACATGTGATATATGCTTAGTGTTTTAACGTCAGACCATGTCACATTTTTCTAGTATTTACGTCACGAAAATATTGGAGTTTTAGTTGACGGTCGGACTCTGTCTTGATATTTAATCCGTGAATTGTGAGGAAGGATAAAATGCTATTGGTACAAATGTTTTTTTTGAAAATTGACTTGTTTCCATTGTTAAAAACATGTTTCTATTATTTTAAAGTTTTTATTGTCTTATAAAGTATATATTTGAATGTGCGTGTGTATATGTGACTGTGATGAAAATGGAGCCGAGTTTCAGTCTGTTCTGTTGACTTTTTTGTCTTCATTGAACAGTCATTGAAATGAATATCGGAGCGACATTCTGAGTCACTTTAATTCGTCTAATTTTTTCCTAACATGAATTTTATGTAATTAATTAAAAAAGGTCGGTGTCTTCATACGCAGATGACATAGTCCTGTTTGGTGAAGACGCTGACAAAATGCAGAGTTTTGGTAGCACTAAGCAACAATGCCAGAATGTTTGAAATGCGCTTCTCTCCCTCGAAATGCAAGTTGTTGCTTCAGAACTGGTCTGCGTCAACACCTGAACTAAGGATAGGGAGTGAAGTAGTCGAACGTGTTGGCAACTTCACTTATCTCTGAAGTCTGATCAGCCCTAGTGGGTTGGTATCTGACGAAATCTCTGCACGGATTCGAAAAGCTCGCTTGGCTCTTGCCAACTTGCGTCACCTTTGGCGAAGGCGAGATATCCGTCTATCAATAAAAGGACGGGTATACTGCGCGGCAGTTCGTTCTGTTTTACTTTACGGCAGCGAAACATGGCCACTAAGAGTAGAAGACACTCGTAAGCTATTAGTATTTGACCACAGATGCCTTAGAAATATTGCTGGCATCTGCTGGTATCACCGGGTAAGTAATAGTGAGGTTAGACACAGGGTATTAGGGAATGATGGTAAACCAGTTGATGAGGTTGTGAATCTTCATCGACTGAGATGGTTGGGCCACGTGTTACGTATGCCTGAACACCGACTACCACGACGTGCAATGCTATCCGGTATTGGAGATGGTTGGAAGAAAGTTAGGGGCGGTCAAACCAAAACGTGGCATCAGTGCTTGAAGACACTAACTTCTAGTCTGAGCCATGTTGCTAGATGCAGACTACTTGGTTGGGGTGTGCGTGACTATCGTAACCAATGGTTGGAGACTCTTGGTGACATGGCTCAGAGTCGATCACAGTGGCGTCGGTGTATACACTCCCTGTCTTCCCTTAAACTAAGAGATTAAAATCACTTCATATCTTTCTTTCTACGAACCAATCCTTTCTTCTTGTACTATATGCAATCTTTCTCTTATATATTACCACCTTTGACCTAACCACTGCTATAAATCCGGTGTTCATCTCGTTGTGCTGATGTGGTATGGCAACCTGGACCGATGCACATGTGCCTGGTCCTACGTTGTAGCTGACTGACTGTTTTTTTATCTAATATATTTATATATACTGTCACATTTAATGTTTAGTTCATTTGTTTATCCTTCTCTTACGGTATATTTCTTGGTGTCATTTTCATATGCTACAAAATCCTTATCCTAGCGTTATTTAACAAGTGTAACTGCAAAGTTGAATAGATATTTCTATCAGTTTTTTAAGTTATTAACTACAATTTTCTACCTTTATTTAAGTTGTCATTCGATTGAGTGAGGTGTTTTGTTCTCTGTTCGAATGAATTTTATATAATTTCTTACAAAACATGAAATTCAGAAGGAATTATAGGTATATATATGTAGTTTAAAAAATTATTCAGTTGTTAGGATGAGAGTTAAGTTGTATATGATATATTTTTCTTTCGTTGAAAACAGAGCAAACAAAAATACAGTTATTGTTCCCAACTTTTTATATAGGTAGGTCAAATTTTATCTCATGTTTTGTTTTTAGACTCTTTGTCATGCTACTCATGTAAAATACAATGATTTCATCCGTACTACTGAAACTAGGCATGTGAAAGTTGTTCATGAATTTTGGGTGAGTTTTTATTTTATTTTATAATTTATTCTTAAATAAATATTTCATGTATAATATGTGATATAGCTCACCAAGTACGGATTTGTATACTTTATGGATGAAGGCTAGTGATACTACCTGATTGCCCAAGCCAAAATAGTTGGTGCGGGACTCAAAACCGCAACTTACTAGTTAGCAGTTGAACGTCTTGACCGCTAACTTTTCAAAGGCTCCATCGGTCAAGCCCTTGATGGGACTCAAACTCAGGTTGCTAGATCCAGAGTTCAGAGTGCTAGTCGACATACCATAAGACTTATTGTCCTTTATCTCTCTCTCCATATATATATTTTTCCCCCAAAATTTTCTTTCATTGTAGAAGCGTTTAAACGCCAGTGGTAATATTTATCGAAGCAAATATTCTGGTTGGTATTGTATTTCAGACGAAGCATTTTATGCGCCATGGGAAATTGATGAAACCAGTTCATCAGGAGTACCTCTGTCAAAAGAAACTGGTAATCCAGTGGAATGGATTGAAGAAGAGAATTACATGTTTAAACTGTCTTCATTTAAAAATGATTTACACAAATGGCTAGATTCAGGAGGTAAGTGTTTTGTTGAATAGTGTCTCTGTCATTGTTTCTATTATACAAGGACAACTTCCAAAAATATAGTTTTGGTGTCTTTATTGTGTAATAAACTTACTGTATTCAGTTAACTTTTAAGCAACTCGTTCTCTTATGTAAGATCTTATTACAATAATTTCTTCTTTGACATTATGGGTACAGTGTTCTTCCGTTGCTTAATTGAGTATCACTGTGTGTAAGTGCAATGGTGGTTATATTACATGTGGAGTGTTCCGAAGCGGTGACAAATCAGTTGATTTGGCTGTAAAATATCATTGCGTAAGATTCAGTGATTAAAGTTGTCATATTCGATAACAGCGAAAGAATTGAGATCATAAGATCTAGAAAAATAAACAAGTACTCAAGGTGTATAGATTTGAGTTAATGTACTCAATATATTTAACAACTGAGTATATTTAGGCTTCTATGGTTAATTTTAAGCTGTGGTGCTCATAATTCCCACATATTGATTCCTACTATACAAAGAAACTCTTGTTTCTTTTCATGATACCAACTAACTGTCAGTGGGTACCCTACTTAGTTGTGTATCTGTGTTTGATCATCTAGAGATCTTTTACTACACCAGTGAACGTCTCACATCAAACTATGGCTTGGTATGAGTTATGCATGCTCAATCTATCTCAGTCGATTGCGAATTCGCAACCTTATCTTCTTAATTATCTCCCTTGCATAAAACTTGTTCCATCTACAGAGTGGTTTGAACATTCAGCTTCCAAAACTGCATATCGAGTTCTATTCTGTTGGCTTTTTGTAGACCATAAGAGAGATTAGAAAAAATTCGATTTCAAAAATAGCACATTGCTTCGTAGATTTCCAGTGTTTTTGATTAGGTTTAAAAAAGTAAGGGGCCTAGTTACATTTAAGCAAAGTAGTCATTTCCTCATAAGTCTTGTAACTGTTTTAAAGCTGTCTCTGTTCCTGAATAAATGATGTTGAAAATCTCGGTTTTTCCACAACATTTTGTGACCAGTATATACTCGTGCTTTTTTCCACTTGAAAAAGTCGTAACCTATTTGGATTGATTGTTATTTTGCACCGAATCAAGGTTTCCCAACCTTTTTGGGGTGGGGTAATTAATCATGTTTACCAATTCAAATTCAATAACTTTTGCTTACTTTCGCAAGTAAAAACTCTACATAAAGGCAGAGAAAGAGGGAGATTTTGCTATATTTTGTCAGCTGAAACTGTTGTGTATGAATCGAACATGAACCTTTCAACGGTTAATTTGTATTTCATCAACTCTAGTTTGTAACGCGAGTTATAAGGATTATAAAATATTTCACACTTCAATTTCTTTTCATAAATAATATAATACACTTCTATTTTTTATTATCTGTGGTTTTTTCATTATTATACATTTTTAATCATTTTGAAATAGTATTTCCTAAGTCATCCAATCAATCAGTTTGGAGTGATATAGCACATAATATGGTGGATACTTCTCAAGATATATCTATTTCAAGATCAAAAAGTCGTTCAGATTGGGGTATACATGTTCCTGGTGATAATGAACAAATTGTAAGTTCTGTCTGTAAACGAAAACGAGATTTTCTTTCCAAGTTCCATACTTTTTAAAACTTCTTCCTTGTTCCATCTCAAAGTTCTCCTGGTTCTTACAGGAATACAAACGTGTTTTTCTCTCCTATGGAATCGACTTATCTTTCTCTTTTCTCTCGTGGTCTTGATTATTTATCAATTTTAAAAGTCATATTTCGGCTTAATTTTTTCTATCTACCAACTATGCTTAAGGCATGTTATTTTTCAACAAGTCGGTCGATGGTTCGAACCCTGCTCCATTTATTTCCGTCTGGTCAGTAAAAACTACTATGATTACTTGGATTTCATCACTGACTCATATCAACTGGGGAACCATTAAATACTAAGTTGGCACTAGACAGGTGTTTCATCTTAGTACGGGACTGTCCGACAGTAAACAACCTCGACCCTGATTTAAATCCAACCCTTAGGACTTTTAAGCTTCATGATTAAGATGTTTTGGAATAAGTTAATTTGTCAACGCGCTTAACTAGTTTTCTCCCTATTATTAGTCTAGGCGTTGACACAGGTCAATCTTTAAGCAACAGTTTACATTTAGTGGAGAGATGTATACATATTATAAATGGTTGCTTGAAATTTGTTAGTTTCCAGTGTTTTTCCAATAGTTCTTCTGTTTTTTTAAAAAAAATAGATTTACGTATGGTTCGATGCTCTGATTAACTACTTAACAGTTGCAGGCTTCCCATGGTCAAATGTTAATGATGGTAGTTTTAAGCAGTCTCTCTGGCCACCAGATGTACAATTTTTGGGAAAAGATATAATACGGTTAGTGTTATTTATTATTATTACTACTAGTTATTATTTTTATCACTATCTGTAGTTACGTTTATGCCTTTTCATGTTTTCATAATTAAAAAGGTTCTGTAGAGTTTTATTTACATTCCTTGTTTAATGAGTTTTCTAAGAAAGCTAATATATTTGTTTTGTTTTGAATAATTTGAACTCACATATATGCTTGGAAAGTATTCTGTTGACCATCTATGTTCTTGGCGAGATAACTTTGGTTCTGTTTGGCTTTTTTTAAGATGTTGACCTGTTTTGTATTCTCCAAGGTCTCTACGAGTCCAGCCAGTCATTGTCAATATAAAGAGCTTGGGGCAAGTTTGGATCAAGCCTAGTTATCATACTGCGTCAACACGACGAAGTGGATGATGGGAATACTGCAAGACTTTTTAAGTATTTGATAGGGTGTGGTTTCATTGAATAATATGACTATTATTATAGATAATCAGGGTTTGCTATTATTGTGTAGGACGAATTAGGAATTGTTCAGAAATGCCTCCAACCAATTAATAACTACAAATAGTGTTCCACAGTATTCAGTATATAAACTTGTGGTGGTCGGTATTCAATATAATCCTTAAACTTCGTATACAGTTCGTCTTGATAACCGTCACTAGATAACGCCCCAACGGTATATTAATCAGAAGGCGAATACGAAGTGTTGATTACGTTTATTATGGGACTACACACAGACATCCAAAATTACAGGTGCGTTAAACAATCATGAAAGAGTTGTGCCGAAAACAAGCAGGCAAGCGAGCGAGTGGGTCGGCAAATACGAGTACGAGTAAGCGAGTACAAATAGGCGTGAGAGCAATGAACACGAATAAAATGGACATATGTATAGTTAAATGAATGAATCATCGAATCAATTAAGCGACTAATAGTAAGGCTAGTAGAGTGAATATATGCGTAGGCAGTAAGCAATGCTCAAGCATACATGTTCATACATTCGCAACAATAATAAAGATACAATGATATAGATAAGTTGTTGTTGTACGGATGACTCAGTTCGTTAATAAGTTAACAAAATGACTTAACCGAATTAGATGTGAACCAACTAAATTGCACGTGAGTTGCTATAAGCTTGACAGTTAGAAAAGAAATTATTAGTAACCCCCCCCCAATCACTATTGTGGACTAAGCAGCGTAACATATTTTCACCTTCATACCAGTTAGTGTTTAAATGTCCCTTTGTAATATGGCTGTCGTATATTTTGTATAGCCGCATATAAAGTTGAACTCATATTTGTGTGTAGGTAGGTACCTTTTCATTAGTATATCCATTATCATATATTTTTGTTCTTCCTAAGAAGCTTGTATTAACAGAGTGCCAGATTTCTAGGTAATTTTCTACAATCTTTTGTAAGAGTGCAGGGTAACCATATCAGTCATTTAAATTTATATGTTTACTGGTTAGTTAGTCATTGAAAGGTGTTTTTTCTTTTAAACAAAATAAATTTCTGCGTAGACATTTCCTACTCAGTTATTGGTATTCAGAAAACTAAATTTTGTGGCCATCTGAACTCAGTAGCGGATGATATCGCATGGGATGTTTCGATTGAAAGTGATAAATCTTCTAACTGAACACTTAAATTGGTTTCCTAAGCTCTTCTATAACCTCAGACTAGATCTACACGGCAACTTGAACACGAGAGAAAAGGCGCTAAATGTGTAAAAAACGCTTTACTTCAAGGTTCGTTTATGTACAGAAAATTCAGGGTATTTATAGCATTTCAGATGGCCCTAGGTTTCTGGGACCCTACTAAACATAGCAGCAGGATAGGTAGTCATCCAATCAGAAACGTAACCCGTGACTCTCCACTTTCTATTCAGTGCTGATTAGATAAAATGTTTCCTACCATTTTCAGGGCCTCTTCTGGGCTCCTTTCGAGGAATACTCTGGATCTCCCCAACGGAAAGGTACTGGGTTCTCAATATGTAACATTAACACGAGTGTAGCAAGGACATCTAACTAATGGTTTCCAAGTAAAAAATAACGCGTGTCCTGTATTCCACTACTAACCACATACCAAATGTTACCAGAGTTCTTACTTTCTTGTATATGTGATTTTTACCATCGAAGTTTCTTCAACGTATCTCTGTGGAGAGAGAGTTTGAGACATTACAAAACGTTTCTATTACTAACCTAATAGTACCTATCATAGTACTGTTAACCAATAAAACCAGTCTATTCTTTTCTTCTCCATAAATTTTCCTTTCTCAATAGATTCCATGCAGTTCTCTGGCCTGCTTTATTAATGGCTGTCAATCTGCCGTTGCCGCGACGTCTAATCTGTCACCATCATGTACTTGTGGATAATGTTAAGGTAATTTTCTTTTTTTCGTAGGGAAAGTATATTATTTCATGAGATGTAGCAGTTGTTTGACAGTGATTAGGGCGTTCAATATTCAACCACTAAGTTTCAGGTTCGAACCTCACTCTGCCTATTTCAGTTTAAACAACGGGTTAGAGTATCACTAGGCATTGTTATATCCTAGTGAAGATTACATTACGAGTAACGTCTGAGACTTATTAATGGACTATTATTATTTATATATTCTCATGGTATAAATATTCGGTAACTAGATTATGTATATCTATATTCCCCTTGTTATAAGCTTTATTTTGACCTATAATTTATTATTGTACGATTTACTGTTCTTGAGCTATGTTCAGTTTATTGACTACTGCCTCCCACGTTCACAGCCACTTTTTGGCTTTATTGTGTATGAATGTTATTTCCTATTTTATGGTGCGTTGCGGTTTGTTTGGTTGATATATATAAACCCAGTATGTCTGAAATAAGTGATTCGATTCGGTTCGCATAGTGGAAGCTGGTATTGGTGTTCTGGATTCAAGTGGATGGGCTATGCGGACATAGGATCAATAAGGACGCTAGGCTGCCCATACCGGTCGAACGTCATTGGTTTGGCACAGCGCTAAGATCGTATAAGTTGTATTTTGATTGGTGGGTAAATCATGTGATAAGCTGGACATAAAGTCACAACAGGCATCATACCTAAATTGTATCTCTAAATCAAGTACCCAAATATGTGCACCTAGTAAATGGGTTATTAATGATAACATGTAATGTCAGTCACGTGCAACGTAAGACCTGTCACATATGTGCATCGGTTCAAGTTATCACACCACACTAGCACAGTGAGATGCAGTTATCAAGACGTTGGGGTGGTAGAAATAGTAACGTGAGAAAGCCATAAGCAGGAGGAACGTGTATTTGTTGCGATAACTTACAAATTATTTACATAATACCTAGTCTTCAATCGTCCATTTGCATTTTTCGGTGTATTTGTGGTGTATGCTACTTAGGCTGGCATATATAAGTAGCGTGTAGCAGTAATCAGAAATGGAATGCCTGCCAGCAGAACACTGAAATGAAGAGAAAATAAAGGGAATAGGAGAGCCATCACTTCATGCGAGCTGCAGTCAGTGGGAGCGTAGGCAGAAACGACGAAAAGGTAACGATACGTGTCCCTACCCTTTCGAGTTCTTACGGAGCCGTTAAGCCGAACAGCACATAGACGACTGTTAACGGGGACCCACTCTAATAATGCTTGTTCTGCCCTTGTACACCTGCCAGTCCACGAGAACTAGCCATTGGGTCGCCAGATACATGGAGAGTGTATCTCGTCGGCTCTCTGTTTTGCCGAGGTGAGTGACCACACTAGGATCCTGTATGAGTGTTTTGGAGACACAGCATACATCAATGGTACGAGATTCTAGGGTTTTAGCCAAGGAAGTCTTCTGACCGATTTGACATATGGTGCGTACGTTGAAGGTTCAAATGTGTAGTTTGGAGCGAGGTTTCAGTAGACCTGGGACAATGTTCTGTGCACTAGAATCGTTGGCCATGGTGACGTTTGAGGAGGAAGCCAAAAGAGGAAGTGTAGTGTTCAAAGTCGACGTAGGAGGAATAATAGGAATTGAAGAGGGATGTTGATTATGAATACAGTGATCTTGAGTGCTGTTAGAGGTATGAGGGTGGTTATCACTTCCCGATTGCCCAAACCGTGGAAGGGTTCTTCTGGAGGTGCCTGAAAAGGAAATTGGATTGGAGGTGGTCTTAGTGACCTGAGAGCGTGACCGCAGTGCCCAAGGTACAGCTGCTTGAGGCCTGTCACACACGACTTTTGTGAGTGGTGTTAGACCTTAGGTGCAATATGGCTAACTTTCACACATATCATTCATTGTAAAATATAGCTTCATAATTACTAATTTCATTTCTGTTAATTTTTCTAAAGTGTTGTAACAACTCCGAACGGTATAATTGATTTCTATGTTGTTTTGTTTAGTAATCTCTAACTTCAGTCCACTCATCATGTCACGTAGCACAATCATCTTTCAATGTTAATTGTTTTTGAATCCTTTAATTAGCTAACTTGATCATTCAGAACAAATCTCTTTTTAAAAATGGCTCATTTTCGTCCAGTAGATAGACCGACACTCATTTGTTTCTGTTTGGTTTTTTCTTGACTTATAAATGTGTTTATTCCGAAACAAAATTATGCTTGAATTAAGTGTATGCATATACTTTATTTTTAATTATCTCTTGTAATGATAACATTTGCACAAACTACTAACAACTTCACACCGTCATTTTACAAGTAGAATTTGTCTTTAATCTATTTTCTGCGTGTGTTTGAATGGTAATGTAGATGTCTAAAAGTAGAGGTAATCAAATCGATCCGATTGTTGAACAGTCTGCTTTATTGTCGGACGAATTAAACAACAATGTTATAACACCTTCTGAATCAGATCTTCTTCGTTATGTTTTGCTTCGCCTTCCTTTGCTAACATTTGATGGCACTTATAGTCGTGAAATGGCTCGTAAAATGATTAACACAGAACTTGTTAATTGGATTGGAAATTTGCTTTCTCGGTGAGTGATCATTATTTATTTATTGATTGATTTCAACAAATAACTCCATGTTGAGTAGCTTGAAAAATTCAGTGGTTATACGTATGGAGTCTTGGGTGAACAATTCTCTAACTTTATTATCCATTTTACTCAGCGTATACGAACATTATTACATTCTTGTAAGGTTGGTTTTGATTTCAGCAGCTATATAGATCAAGTATATGACCTATTCAGAAATAAATCCATAAAATTATATTCTATATCTGTTATATCCTGATGAGAATTATGAATGGTAACTTTTGAGAACTATTTATGGACCAATACGATACATATATTTTTATTGTTTAATTATTAAGTAGCTAAACTATACATATTCGTGTTCCTCTTATTAAAAGCTTTATTTTGACCTGTGAACTATTATTATACGATTTACGGTTCTTGAGTTCTGCCCAGTCTGTTAAATATAGTCTTCGACATTCACAACCACTTTTGGCTAGTTCTTGTACAAATATTGTTCCCTATTTTATGGTACGATGTGGTTTGTTTGGTTTGTATATAAACCCACTATGTTTGAAATACATGATTCATATTGCAGAGGCTGAGATTGTTGTTCTGGACTTAACAGGCAGGGCTAGGCAGTAAGACGTATCAATAAGGATTCCAGACTGCTCGTACGGTTTTACGCGTCATTGGTCCGGTCGATAAATCACTGTTCTCTAATTGGCAGTATCGTTATGTCACCTATCAATAAAGCACATGTTATAACAATATCATTTGTAGTTTATATCACGAACTGACCTTAACTTAAACACTAGTAAGAAATTAGATAGTTATTCCATTCAATCATATATGGTCATTATTAGGACTACCTTCGAGAAGTGCCACTGAGTTTCTTATACGACCAGGCATAAGGCAGGTTATCACCAAATTGGAAATATTGACTATTAATGAATGTATACCAATTTAGTGACAGCGTACTCGTTTCAAGGCACGGTTTCGGTTTCCATCTGGTATGAAGTTGTGGGTGCAGACTATTAGGGTATTCTATATTGGGGTGCAGCAAACGTTCGATGCCCCTCTTCATTTTCAATAGTTGTTAAGCTAAAGAGGGCATCCATGATTCGAACTAACAACTAACCTTCACAGATTTATAATAACTATGTTTATTTTGTTTAGTGCACATAACATATGTTACTTGTATATATACCTGATAGGGAGACCTCAGAGAAGTTGACTATTATTGTTATGTGTATTAAGTCCATTTTTATTGCTATTTCAATTTGGATTTCGTTGGAAATATTAAAACTCTCTAAAAATTACCATTCGCTCACTCGCTCTCTCATTCTTTTGCGAATTATTAGCGTCAGTGTTGTAGTGCATGACCGTCATCCGATCCATCAACTTTGCGTAGATCCCGTTTCGTACAAAAAGGAACCCTCGTTCGTTCGTAATAAGCGTAAGCTATTTCTTAACATAACATCTCCGACTTGCTCTGTTGGCTACTATACTATGGATAATTTAGGAAAAAGACAGATGGCGGACACCAAGGCACTACTTCGTTAGTCTAGTGCTTTCAGGTTATGAATGGTTGTCTAATCTAGATCGGTCCGTGATCTCAATGAGAGTCCGTGAAGTTGTTGACTGTTGATGTGCCTCGTCTTTTGGGAAGTGAAGTCTTGGTCCAGATTTTTATGAAATGGTTTTAATCTATGATTCAAAACCTTAGGTAACAAAGCTGAAAGTTGACAGCAGTGACAAACCCATTCGTTTATTCCTGTTGAACTGTATTTCGTATGTGCTTAGCTCTAAGGACTATTGATACCATTATTCAACTCATTTACTTATCTACATAAATTTCTGTTATGGTGATACTGAACGGGGGAAAACGGTATACCGATGCACTAAGATACCAAATAGTACACTGATTATTGCCGGCTGTGTTTTCTTTATTTAAATTTCTTTTTACGGAATTGTCATTCGCTGACAAGGTTTTAGTTTTCTTCCCTAACTTATCATTATCCCCATGACTGAATTGTTTGAATGAATGCGCCTATGTACGAAGGGCGTAAAATAACTTATATTGTGAAGTTCTAAAACTTTATGTCCCAGTTTATCCTTGTGTCAAATAAATCTGGGTGATGCATACGATACATGTGTGTGATCCCTATAAGATATTATGTGATGCACCACAGTATTCGGTTGGTGCAAGGAACTCATCAACCACCCAGCCGCTAAGTGATTGGAAACCTTGTACCGCATTTTTTGCCTTCACAATGTAGAGATATGTACAATCCTAGTTTCTATTTAATTATCTCGTAGAATATATTTCAACAGAGATGCCATTAATTCTTTCATTTATTCAATGGGTTTTTTTATATCTTCACTTTTTTGTAGTATCACATCTGAATCTCTTAACCCTGAACAGTCTATAATTCAGATTAATCGTAAACAGGTTGATGATATGTTTCACGATGATAATTCGGATATGGAATTTTTTGACAAGTTAGTTTATGTAGTTTCTTTTCTCATCAATAAAATGTATTACAGTTTCATTCTCTTCTGTTACATCTATACTTTATACAGTCGAATGAATCAGTTTTAAGAAGACGATTTTTAGGTTCTGTTGCGCAAAATTCGAAAGTCAGTGACCGCTAATAATCGTTCAATAAGTAAATTTAATAAGAGTATAGTATGTGAAGACGAATTAACAAAAATCAATAGAAACGATTTCTAGGTTAAATATCACGTAGAACGATTAGTAGGAATTCCTTTGTGTAGTCATGAGAAAGTTTAATGGTAACGAAAGGTTACTTTTCTCAAAGCAATAGTGTTCAATGCTCACTTTTCCCCTTGTAGATCGTATATAACACATAGATCAAGCCTACCTCTAAATGCTGGCCGAAACATGTAATCATAAATTCTTAAGCGTAATCAGAAATAATGTAGAGAACTTCTGAAAATCCATTTAACCTTATAAAGATTCGAAGAGATGGATAATCTATACCCATATGGACGACTTTATATTGTCGTTGGTCTATCGATTGACAGGCAGAATAATATATAGAAGACTTCAATAGATTTATTAATTATGTAAAATCTGTTCACCGTTTGCAATAATATTGTTCTTTTTTTATAGACTATTCCATTATAAAAGTTTTTTCTAATTCACTAGCAACTGACCAGAAATTTGTCGGTTTTTTTGAACGCGTTCCTGTATCATACCTTTATTGATCTCAAAGAAGAGCTTTTTTAAAGTTATCCCATGAAGAAGCCACAATTATAAATTGTGATTAGTTACTGTCGGTACAAATGTTAGAAGTTTTTGATCAATCACCAAAAAGCTTGTAGACTCAAGTCGGGATCTTGTTGATATCAGGAAGTTTGGAAAAATATAAATCACTATTTTAAGCGTTATTTTTGGTATGAGGTAAACTACTCGTTTAGATACGACAGAGTTAAGTGCGCCTATTTCATATGAGTAACTGTGCTGCCCTCCTATTCCCCATAATGCGTACAGCAAGCCGGGTTAGATTTCTTTGATTTGTTTTGTGAAGGAGGACCAAAGAAATACATCGATCTATGTAAAAGTATTGTCAACTAACCAATCAGGTCTTTTTTCCAGCTTCTTTAGTATCAGCGTAAATTCCAACACTCCATCGTGTTTGAAAATCACCCAATAAATGACAGTAATCATAAAATGTAAATTCACAATTTATTGTTGTTGAATAAAACATTTTTCCATTATGAAACAAATGAATTTTATGGCATAATAACAAACTAAGTAGTTTTTGTTTCATTTTTATTTCAGTCTAGATAATATCTCTCATCATTTTGACAAATTTTGGTGGTATGAAGCTCAACCTCACAGGGCTATCGAGGAAGTTTTACGCATTATTCGACAAACTAATACGTTTATTACTCGTCACAGTCCATGGACCGAAAAAGAATTATTAAGAAAGCAATTTATATTATCAGTAGTATCTGAATCATTAAGAATATGTGCATTACTTCTACAACCAGTTATTCCAAATTTATCAATTCGATTGTTACATCGACTTGGTATATATTATGAAGGAAAAAAAGAACAAAACCAATCGAATATCAGTAATCAAGCACGTGTTCTAGGTGAAAATTCTGGAAAATTTCTCCGTAAAATTGAATAGTTTCATTAACAATAATAAATTACCCTTTTTTTTCTATGTAAATTCTAATCTTAGTGTCAAACAGTATCCTTTAGGGGATTGTTTGTTCCCTCATCGTAATGTATATAGACAGTGTTATTCTGATATAATATTCACTCGGTTTTTGTATGAAAAATTGGTTGCTTTATGGGAAATATCGGTAGTCAAGAAGAGAATCTTTAGATATTGGGAAGACTAAACCCTATACTGATAATAATCATGTGCTTACTAGTGACTAGCTTTAAAGCGCAATTTCTGGGGTTTGGGCGAGAAACAGTCGAGTCCAACCATATCGGGTGTGAGATAATTGTCCACTACATGTAGTGGATAAGGGTTTGGGAGATCATGATGCTAACACTTAGATGTTGGCCCAGTATTCTCAAAACGAAGCGTTCGCGCGCGGGATCGGAGGTCGTAGGTATCATTCCCAGATGCGGGGTTGTAGGTGCACACTGCTTAGGAGTCCTATACTAGGACAAAGCGGCTGTCTAGTGACCCCAGGTTCTCAATTGTTGTCTAAGATCAGCTTGTGATTTAAAATGACTAGTTTATTGTTAAACCACAGGATAGTAATAATGCTGTTAGCTTCATTCAATATTATACGTTTTTATGAGAACTAAGAACCGTTCTCCATGAGGTGACTGGATTAATTTGTTCAGTTCATCAGTTACAACGTAGAACCTGTGTGTATGTACATTCATATGGTATGAGTTCAGCAGGTTTGTTGAATGTCGCCTATCACCTTCGTTCTCCTGACTGCTGGGAAATATTCCATTACAAACGTACGCAGAAACCTGCATTTGTGTCACCGAATCACACCACAGGGAATCAGATAGATTATATCAAATAATTCAGAATGACAATGGGAGATGTGAAGACCATGAGAGCATCTGACGTAGCTTACGAATCTGAATCTAAATAATCTTTGGAAACAGCATTAAAGAGGTTCAACAGAGACTGCTTTCGACATAATCAGTTCACTATAGCTCACAGAAACAGGTTCCAAGCCCTGCAATATCTACTGGATGGAGTTTTCCACGGAGAACAACTGGAAAGGTTTCAGAGAGGCACTAATTTGAAATTATCAAGGTGTGCTGAGCGACAAGAAGCATTATCACAAAAATGAATCTCATTCGCAAACCGTGCAAGATTCAAGGGACATACTTACGCCTGTTACTTCCAATCGAGCATAGGCGGCCGTCCAGCATTCTCCAACCCACTCTGTCCTATGCCTTCGTTTTTAGTGCTATCCTATTTTTGTTCTTTCTTCTCATGTCTGTCTCCATTTCTCGGCATAATGTGTTCTTTGGTCTTCCTCTTTTCCTTTGGCATTGAGGATTCCATGTGAAGGCTTGTCTTGTGACGCAGTTGGGTGCTTTCTTCAATATGTGTCCTATCCACTTCCAGTGCTTCTTCCTACACTGGGATCTAGTTCGTTCTCTCCTAAAATAGATTGTTGCTGGTATTGTTTGGCCAATGGATCCGAAGTATTTTGCGTAGACAACTGTTAATAAACACCTGTATTTTCTGGATGATGGCTTTCGTAGTTTTCCAGCTTTCCGCCCCATACAATAGAACTGTCTTATGTATTGAAAATTCTGACCTTGGTGTTGGTTGGCAATTGTTTTGTGTTCCAGATGTTCTTCAGTTGTAAATATGCTGCTCTTGCTTTGCCGATCCGCGCATTCACATCTGCATCAGATCCACCGTGTTCATCAATGATGCTGCCCAGATTTGTAAAGGTTTTTACATCTTCCAAATCTTCGTCAATTGTGATTCGATTGGTGCATGCTGTGTTGTATGGGAGAACCTTGCTTTTCCTTTTGTGTATATTGAGACCTACTGCTGCTGCTACACTGGTCGTTTTCTCCTGCATTTGTTGTTGCGATTGCGATAGAAGGGCCAGATCATCTACGAAGTCTAGATCGTCCAGCTGCATTCTAACTGTCCACTGTATTCCATGCTTCCCCTCAGATGTTGACGTCTTCATGATCCAGTCGATCACCAGTTGAAAGAGAATGGATGAGAGTAAGCAACCTTGCCTGACACCGATCTTCAACTCGAACGAGTCTGTCAACTGTCCTCCATGAACGATTTTGCAGTTTAATTCGTCATAGGAATTCCGTATGGTATTGACTATCTTCTCAGGTACACCGTAGTGTCGAAGAAGCTTTCATAATGTTGTCCTGTCCATGCCATCAAATGCTTTCTCATCGTCAATGAAGTTGATGTGGAGTGATGAATTCCATTCAATTGATTGTTCCACAATGATCCGTAGCGTTGCGATTTGGTCTGTACATGGTCGATCCTTACGGAATCCAGCCTGTTGGTCTCGAAGTTGAACGTCTACAGAGTCCTTCATTCTGTTTAACAATACCCTGTTGAGGACTTTTCCTAGTATTTAGAGAAGAGTGATGCCAATGCAGTTATCACAGTAGCTGAGATCGCTACATCTGCTTTCAGTGCCTCTGCTGAAATGTCTGGCCTTGCTGCTCTTGATTTGTCTGATGGTCATGCTAATCTCTTTAATTGTTGGTGGGCCAGCATTTATTGGGAGGTCCGTGGGTGCTACTTCGATGTTGGGTGGGTCCAGTGGGGCTGATCGATTCAAAAGCTCTTAAGAGTTCTACCAAACTGTCTCGCTGTTTTTCACTGTTGGTGATTACTTTGCCTTCCCTGCTTTTCACTGATCGTCCTGGTTTACGATAATTTTCAGCGAGTTTCTTTGTTGTGTCATACAATTGTTTCCTACTTTTGCAGACTTTTTCGCCATCATTGCTAAATCTTCCACATGTTTACGTTTGTCGGTTCTGATGCTCCTCTTCACTTGCTTGTTTACTTCTGTGTATTCAGCTTGTGCCTTGGCTTTTTCTACTCTTGTTCGGCTGGTATTGAATGCTGCCTTCTTTCTTGAATCCAGTATATCAACAGTGGCCCATTCCCTGTGATGGTGCTTCTTGCGGCCCAGAACCTCATAGCATGTTGAAGTGATTACCCCCTTGATCCCTTCCTAGTTGTTCTCCATGGTAGTTCCCTCTCGACTGAGTGGATCGTGAAAGGCATGGATCCTATTGCTGAGGGCTATCTTGAATTTGTTGAGTTTGTCAGCATCTCAAAGAAAAGCCGTATTAAACTTTTGTGACGTCCGCCCTGTTGTTCAGTGCTTCTTGAGTTTCCGTTTCATCTTGGCGACCAGGAAGTGAGTTTATATCAGCTCCTCCCTTGGTTCTCATGTCCTCCTGAACTTTTTGTTGATACAGGTACGGTCGGTTTGGTTTAGTATAGTGACACGGTGAAATCCATGTAGCTTTGTGTATGCGTTTATGTGGGAATATGGTGCCGCCTATGACCAGTTTGTTGAAGGCACATAGGTTTGCAAATCTCTCACTATTTTCTTTCTTTTCTTCCAGTCAATGTCGTCCTATGATGTCTTCATATCCGGTGTTGTTCATTCCCAACTTTGCATTTAGGTCTCTTAGAATGGTCAAGTCCTTTGTTGGGCATTTCCCGAGGATTGACTGCAGCCTATCTTAGAATTGATCTTTAACGTCTTCAATACAGTCGTTGATAGGCGCATAGCATTGGATGACGTTCATTGCAATGCCCTCTTTCTTTGTTTTGAAGAAGGCTTTGATGATCCTGGGTCCATGAGATTCCCACCCTATAAGTGTTTTTTGTGCTTGTATGGATAGCACCAGTGCAACTCCTTGTACATGTGGAGCACTTTCTTTATCATGGCCGGAGTATAACAGCATCTATCCTGAAGCTAGTCTTTGTTGTTCAACCTGTATCCAATGTGTTTCACTGGTTCCAAAAACCTCCAGGTTGTATCTTCATTTCTGCAGCAACTTGGATAACTCTCCCGGTCTCGCACGTAGTACGAACATTCCATGTACCTAAATTCATGGTTGCGCTTGTCAGAAGAGGCACCAGCCTCGTGACTACTGAAAGGACTCAGTCTTCATAAAGAGACGTCATAAATGAAGACCTTACAACTCCCAGGGCAGAGTTTAAATGGTTTCAATAATTTTTTCTGTTCAGTGTTTTTTTAGCGACTTAGTTTTCTACGGGAAGTTGATAAATATTTACTAGCTCAAAGACTGACTCCCCATCTTTACTCAGCACTCTGTTCCTAACTCATACATTGCTTACTCGGTGGTCCCAAAATACACTAACAATGCATCGTAGGCACTTATGATCGGATACCAGTAACGTACGAATATCCTCTACTCTTAATAGACATGTTTCACATCAACAACGTAAAACTGAGCTAACTGCTGAGTACTAAACTCGCACTTCGCCTACGCAAGTTCGTGAAAACCAATCGAGCCTCCTGAATCCAAGCTGAGATTTCTTCAGACGCCAAACCATTAGTACTGATGAAACTCCCAAAATAAATGGAGCGATTGGTGCGTTCAACCACTTGACTCCTTATCACTAATTTAGGCGATGACAGAAGCCAATCCTGAATTAATATTTTACATTTGGACGGAAAGAACAGCATCCCAGACACGTATTGTGGACCGCGGGGTGGCTACTCTAATTTCTACCGACTGACCAACTTCAGATATCCCAGTACGACTCCAATATATCAGAACACGAATCGTAGATGAAATCGTTTATGGGGCCAGGAGAAGAATAGGAATGATACGTTACAGACAAATGCATATTTATACAGTTAGGACTACCGTGAATATTGACCAACAGGAAAATGACACGTAAAATAAATATTGACCAATAGGAAAATGACACCATTTCACGTTCAAGGATAGCATTAGACTTAGCAGGATAATTTTTGGGATATTTTTCTGAATATCCCAACAACACACTTGTATTTTTTCTCAAGGTGGTCAGAAGATTGCATTTTGTCAGTGTCTTCAGAAAGAACTATGTTGTCTGCGCATTATAAGCCAACAAGTGAATCTCCTGGCAGAAGACCGATCCCTGAAGATTCGGACGGTGAAAGTGTTATCTCTAAGATCATGTCTATTAAAAAGTTAAATAAAAAGGGGGAGAGCAGACGACCTCGACGAACATAATCTGAAGTAACGAATTACGATAACAGTTCGCCATAAGCACTAACTCGACCAGTAGTGTTTGAATAGAGACTGTACAAGGTTGATTTATTTATTTGGTACGCTTTTCAATGACAGATACTGACATAGGACCTCACGATCAACGGAGTCCTACGCCAGCTTAAGGTCAAGGTATACAACTGTAGTCGGACATCGAAAAGTAGGCCTACGTTCCACAGTCTCCCAAAGGGTGAATATTTAGTCTATACCAACCTGGTTTTTATGGGTTTGCTCTTCATAAGCTCTAGTTAGATGTCGAAGTATTATTGAAGCTAATATTTCGGACGCTATATTAGTAAAACCGGCTCCTGTAATTGGCACAAGAGGATTCCTGTCCTTTCTTATAAACTAGGACGGTCAGCGACCTAGACCAGTCAGATGGGATTACATCAATTTCCCAGGTTTCAGTTAATCTAACTTCCAAATCTAGACCCCCATCCTTAGGAATCTCAGGAGTTAGTCCATCGGCACTACTGCTCTACCCTGCTTTAGATTACTTTTATAGCCTTTTCAACCTCAGAGTTGGAGCACTTTTATCAATTTCTTATTCGGGTTGCTTGGAGATAGTAGATGAGTGTGGCTGAAGGTCAGTTGAACCGTTTCCTATAGTGTTTATCCTCTTGGTTCAATCTCCTGGATAAATAGTAGTTTCGTCTTTATCAGAGATAGTTTTATTAACAGTCGGATTTGTAATACCCGTTTCATTGAGCAGTTGCCTACTGTTTCCTACCGGTGCTGCCTTTTCCATCTTCTCTGCTTTCTCTACTCATCAACCTACGTTTAAGCTGCCTCCACCCCTTGCCGTATTCAGAGCCAGACGGAATGAGTTTCCAAGCATCTATCAGTTCTGTAGAAGCCACTGAAGTTTACTGATTTTGATTTCCTTCCGTTGTGAGGAGACAGCATTGCTGCAGATGCTGTTTGTTCAATGGAAACACTTTACTGATACCACACACCACCACAGTCAGCGGTACGACTTCGCTTTCGGGCCTTAAGTTGCTGCTTTTAGTCTTACCATTCTCCAAGAGACCTGGCTGGGATGATAGGACCTAAAGGAACATCTATTCCAGACAATATACCTTGGTTGGGTTATCAAGATAGACAGGCCCGACCACCATAGTTGGGAAAGCAACTCGTTAATTTACGTCAGTATTTAGGATAGTAATGTTTAAATTTTAGTGGAAATCTCAACCACACAATCATCATATTGGGTAGTTCTTTTCACCAAAGTTAACCTTCCTTCACGCAAAAAATGGACTGTTCACAAATTATGTGGTATATAGTTGGGAAAGTCTTAGCTATCTACCGAATGTGGCACAAAAATGATACAGTGAAATTTTTTAAAAATGGTGAAATAAATTGATGATATTCATATTTTTCAAAAATGACAGTAAACGTGGGACTACAGAGACTGATAACGTTAGATTCTTTGTACAACTATTTTTTGTTGAATTTAATTTTCTCAAATTCTTTAAAGTTCTCATCTAATATATCATCTAGATCACATCTTGTATGGATGAGGGCAAAATATATTCCAACTATGAAAGCACATGTAATTATAATTGGATATTGATAATGTGGTATATCTTTCGGCTTTGGGACAAAATTCATTACAGCATGCCATTTTTTGTGCGTTGAATACCGGATTTGTCCGTCTGGTAATTTATCATTATCTATTTCCGGTACTGTACGAGAATATGTTCTACACAAACTATGATGAGCAGAGAGAATTTTCGTGGTTGACTTTTTGTTAAACATATTTTTAAAAGAATGAATTCCAAATAAATTCCGAAAAAGTATTTGATTCATCCTGAAATTTGTCAATTATTTAGCGGCAGTCCAATAATCTAGAAAAATTGTTAGGCAGTTATAAGTTTATCAAAGCCAGGTAATAGGAAATAATTAACAAAAGAATAAGTAAATATTATCAGAGATGTTTCTTGCTATTGTAATATTGGTCAAGGACGTTTGGGGATATAGAGATGATCTACAAAGAATATTACTTGATCTCAACACAGTATGTAATTAGTGGAAGTGAACAGTAATGTAAATTTAGCATATGGCAATATGTCACGAATGCCTGGATGGAATCATACTTTTATTTCTTGGTGCAATTTGGATCGAAATGTAGGTTAAGTATGAGTTACTTTAACGGGTAGAACAAAGAAGACAGTGGGGCATTCTGTTCTAGTGACTAAAATCCTCAAATACACTGAACTTATAGGTTGAATTTAAAAGTTTTAATTGTGGAATTTCTCTTGCCACCAGTAATGTTACTTAAGAAACAAACGAAACCTTTTAGCCGGGATTATATTCAAAATAGCTACGTGTATTTATTATAAATAAAATTCACTTATGATATCAATTTGTGAGTCGCCTATTTTTTTATAAGTATTTTAAAATGTTAACCCAGGAACATTAGGGGTGACTGGGGTCTATCGACTTTCCACATATTTTAATCGAGCAATCCTTTATCCTGCACTTTATTGACTCTCTTCATGCTTTAATCTTTTTTGTTGTTGAAGTAGTCACTCTCAGATTTTCAGCTTACAAAATACCACTTGTAACTACATTTTGTGGCTTTCGATTTTCAAACGTTGCGTTGAACAGCAAGTCTTTGTAGTTAACTCTTGTAGCTAAAGTAGTATTGTGGAGATAGGCATGAAAAACTTATTTTGTAAATAGTTTTGATATTATTTGCATTTATTTTGTTAATTTTCACAGCCTATACATTTACCACAAAATGATTATACATGTTTAAGTGTATGACCTTGAACACACACTTCCGTTCTGTACTACTCATATCATGACACACGCTTTTAACTGCTAGTAAATACACTACTATACACACGCCTCCCATTCTCGATTACTTGTAGTTATGATAACTGAACTCTAAATCATCTACTATCTACATTTATAGACTGCAGCCACATTTACATTATATTTTACGTTTGGCTATATTACTGTAACCATAACAATCCCATTGGAATTATTATCTATAATTGTGGACTCTGGTACCAAATACAACTCGAACACGCCCAAGTTTGCTGATTCAAGTAACGTCCCTGAATTTTTATTTGTGTTTATAACTTATAACTGATATATTATAACATTACCGTTTATACGTAATAACTTTATTACTATTTTTGAGTTGATATATTTTTTGTTCCACCACAATTCTCTGGTGAGCCTTGAGTTATTCTAATTGCTATATTGATTATTTTTACCTGATATGTTAGTTTATTTTTCAAATAATGTACTCTCCCAACAAACTTATCGATATGAACGGTCCCCCAGTAGATACCCTCAGTTCTTTACCAAGTTCTGCTGGCACTATTTTAAATTCAGTTAATAGTATTTTGGAATTCAGACTCCCAGCATATGGAACTACAACCCAGGGGTTTGGTTCGCCCAAGTAGAGGCGTTATTCATAGCCAGAGGAATACTCTCCCAGGCAACAAAATATCCTCATATAGTTGGAGCACTCTCCATAGAAATCGCAGCCGAGGTTGAGGATTTAATCTACCAAGTACCATAGAGCGACCCTTACGACAAAATAAAAGCCGCGGTTATTCAACGCACGTCAGTCTCAGATGAAAAAATATTACAACAGCTGTTACCTTCATGTGTTTTGGGAGACAACAGACCATCACAGCTGTTAAGACACATGAAACAGCTAGCAGGTTCATCTAAGCTAGACGAAGCCCTGCTAAAACGAATGTGGTTTCAACGTCTACCACATAATGTAAGATAAATTCTCAGTGTGTCAGGAAACTCTGTTAACGTAGATGATCTAGCAGATATGGCTGACAAGATGACGGAAGTCTACCCAGACAGACATGGTGTTAACTCAGTGCAAACTGCCGGTAAAGAGGATACAGGTGGCACAGCCAACTTCCAACAGCAGTTATCGGAGCTGGCAAGGCAACTGGCACCACTACAAGCCACTATTGCCACGATCCACTCCCGACAACCCAGATTCTCATCCAGAAGGAGATCGTTTTCCAGACAGCGTCCTAAGTCACCTAACCGGACCACCGGAATTTGTTGTTGCTATCAAAAATATGGTGCAAAGGAACGGCAAGAGTACATTATTTGAAAAATAAACTAACATATCAGGTAAAAATAATCAATATAGCAATTAGAATAACTCAAGGCTCACCAGAGAATTGTGGTGGAACAAAAAATATATCAACTCAAAAATAGTAATAAAGTTATTACGTATAAACGGTAATGTTGTAATATATCAGTTATAAGTTATAAACACAAATAAAAATTCAGGGACGTTACTTGAATCAGCAAACTTGGGCGTGTTCGAGTTGTATTTGGTACCAGAGTCCACAATTATAGATAATAATTCCAATGGGATTGTTATGGTTACAGTAATATAGCCAAACGTAAAATATAATGTAAATGTGGCTGCAGTCTATAAATGTAGATAGTAGATGATTTAGAGTTCAGTTATCATAACTACAAGTAATCGAGAATGGGAGGCGTGTGTATAGTAGTGTATTTACTAGCAGTTAAAAGCGTGTGTCATGATATGAGTAGTACAGAACGGAAGTGTGTGTTCAAGGTCATACACTTAAACATGTATAATCATTTTGTGGTAAATGTATAGGCTGTGAAAATTAACAAAATAAATGCAAATTACTAGTATAGGGGTTTTGGAGATTAAGTTTTTGATTGAGATCATGAACCGATTGATGTTAGACCACTACCTTTGGAAACCTGGATTGGTTGATATTAGACACTATCACCATTGGATGCCGGCTCAGTGGTCCAGTTGGTTAAGCGTTCGCGCGCGAGACCGAAGGCCCTGGGTTCGAATCCAGCGAGCGGGGGCGAGATGCGCACTGCTGAGGAGCCCCACAATAGGACGAAACGGCCGTCCAGTGCTTCCAGGTTTCCAAAGGTGGTGGTCTAACATCAATCGGTTCATGATCTCAATAAATGCAAATGTTGGGACGGTATATCCCCAAAATTCATATTTGTAATTTTATCATATCGATTAACTTATTGATTAAATATCTGAATGCCTGTCGATTGATGAACTTAATGAGTCATGTTTAAAAAACATTTTACTATGACAATATGGATTATATATATTTATATATATATACTTTCTAAATTGTGTTTGAGTGCTTGCTTGCTCGCTCGTTTTCTGGCTGTTGGCAGAATTTATTTTCCATACCAAGCTTGGACTTCTCCTTCTGGATAGCGGGGCTGGGACGCATCAATAGCTAGATAACTGGTCTTTGGCCACTGAGTCTTGTTTTCGTTCGCAGATTAAGTGAACTCGTGAAGCTTCAAACCTAACAGCAAATAATATCAAAAACTATTTACAAAATAAGTTTGTCACGCCTATCTGCACAGTATATATGTGCCATGTTTTCAAACTCCTTCTGAAGAAACAATTGTAGCAAATCACTTAGTTTTACGTAGTTGATGTAGTACTTGGATACAGTTCGCTTTACAAGTGTCCAACAACTCGATGTTTAGTATTTGCAAGCTTAAAAGTGTATACGATGGATGGACTTACGAAAACAAAGTCTACTTTTCAACTGAGTTTCAGTCTACTGTGCGCTGTCTAGCTGAGTGTTCGAATCAGAGCTTTAATCAATAAGCACATAGATGTCTGATTATAGTCTCAGCTTCTATCAACACATTAAATGTAGAGCCGGTTACAAAAACAAATTGACTCAAGTTATCACACTTATATAAACGGAACGAGGGGGGATCAATAACGGAAGTCAGAGATTTGATACGATGAAATTAAGTGATGAAAACTGGATGTAGAGAATATGAAAAAATAATAAAGCATCGCTAGTGTATTTTAGGACCATCAAGTGAGCAGTGTATATGTTAGAAACAGAATACGAGGATAGTAAATCCTTATCAACTGAAGTGGTTGAAGATATGTATTATTTGAACACATAAACATTGATACAAGGGGGCACCAAATACATATACGCCACACAATGGCAGTGAGGTTGTGAAGAGATCGAGAATGTAAAGTGAGTATAATAAAAGAACAAAAATAAACAGAAATCAGTGTATGGGAGTGAGGTAATAATAATAATTAATTAATTAATAAGTCGTAATAATGGGAGAAACAGTTCAGTTAGTAAAAATACAACCAGAAAGAATTCTTTCAGTTAAAGAAGTTACATTTATGCGGAAAGTAAAAGAAAGTCACAGTAGGATCTCCACTGGCTCCAATTCTGAGCCATGTCTCATAACTCCTTTAGCCACTGTCTTGCACAATTTCTATGGCCCCAACCAGGTAGTCGTGAATAATCAACAGAAGCCAGTTCTCTACAGCTTACTTTCATAACTAGACACCATATCATACACTTTTTGTGGCCCTAAATCTGACTCCATTTAAATTATATTATGATCATTATAGAATTACACATGTCAGCTATCCTTGTATATTTAACCGAATTGAATAGCGTTAGTGAATGATGAAATTAAGTCAAATACGAGAATGAGATATAAGTACGCATATTTCGTACAATTGTTGATCGGAAAGCGAAGCAGAACAAAATGACGCGCAATGGAGAAGACGAGTGAGCCGACTCGATTAAACCAAGCGTGAATTGATATTTATGGTCAGACAAAATAAATTATAGACATGTGATGAGTAGGATAAGAAATGCACACATATACATAAAAACAGTCGAGGTTAATAAGCCAATAAGTGACAAGGTCAAAGTGTGGTTTAAGAAAAATGAATAGATTGGTCTGCCAGACTGGACCAGCCACTACACACTGACCACCTCTCCGCTCTTCCCAACCGATCCTAACGTCGGCAAATAATGCACGACGTGGAATTCTCTGGGACGACACTCGTAGTACATGTATAAGCCAATGAAGTCGGTATTTCAAGATGATGACACCAATTACGTTATCGTCACCACGTCCGAACAAACGCTGCAAAACATCTGCATTACTAACATGAGTTGCCATAGAACGACATCAATCCTTTGGAGACATTGATGGTTTACTAGAAAGACGCCTAACATCCTCAACTCGAAGAGACCAGGTTTCACAAGCACAGAGCGAAACTGCTCTCATCGAAGCGTTGTAGATCCGACCCTTAACACCAGACTAACATCACGAAGGCGCCAAAGATGGCTCAGATTGGCATAAGCCGCTCTAGCTTTCACTATACGTGCATTGATCTCATCACTCACACCCCCACCAGCACTTATGCAGCTACCCATACACACAAACTTCTCAACTACTTCTATCTGTTCATCATCCAAAGTGATTGCAGGGTAACGGCCCTGTCGGTCTTGTAAAATTACTTTGCAGTTCGAAGGTGCAAAGCACATACCATACCTACGGACACTGATTGCCAACTGATTAATTGCAGATTGCATGGCTTGGGTATCATCTCATAGCACGACAATATCATCCGCATACTCAAGGTCGGGAAGTCTTCCTCCAGGCAACAGATCTACACCACCATTACCTGCATCCATCAGGACATCATCGATGGCAAAGTTGAAGAGGAATGGTGAGATTGGGCAACCCTGTCTAACCCCGTTGCTCGAATGGAACAATGGAGAGAGGTGGTTGTATGCCTTACTCTGCCTGAATTGTTTGTATAAAAGACTTTCAAGATATTAGTAAACTTTAAAGACACACCTTTCTTCACTAGACAGTCTTAGAGAACAGTCCTGTTCAACGAATCGAAGGCGGCTCTAATGTCAAGAAACACTATGATTGCTGGCCTGTGATAAGTATGACGATGTTCTAATATTTGGCGCAGGGTGAAGATATGATCAGTGCATCCTTGACCAGGAAGAAAACCAACTTGCTCCTCGCGAGTCAATCTTTCTAGGGTTTCGAACAATCTACAAAGTATGTGCCCTCAAATGCCCTGGTACGACCGAGAGTGTGGAGGGTCCGCTCTCCCTCACGAAATACTCTCACATGGTCACGCGTATATAGCCACTGCCAAGGAAGTCCTACTCACTGCCTTCTCGTGGCGGGAGTATTGTTTACGAAATTGAGAGGACGAAAAGAGAACGTCCGGCGATTTACCGGGTTGGTGGACACGGAGAGTCCACCTAGGGCAGTTGGAAAAACCTGACTCCGAATCATTGGTGCACATGGGCTCCAGTATCCTGAGGGAACAAATGGAGTATGAACCAATTATCGGCCACCGGCTACCATGTGACTGCACCTCCTTACGTTGCTCCACTGCCTTGTGGATTGGACCTTTGGGTCAAAGGCTCGGGGTGTGGCCTCCTAAGAAAATCACCTGCTTCGGTTTAGGCAGCCGGGCAGTATCCCAGCCCTTACACAAATCGAATGATTTATGTGGCGCATACCTATTTAGTGCCTTTTTGTACCAACGTTTATGTGTTGAAATAAATAAATAATAAATGATTTAGCTAAAAAGGCAAAAAATGGGACTTGCTTGGATAAGACTTGATCCTTAATGTTAGTTCGAAAACACAGAAGAAATCGATATGGTATGGATCATGATGAAGCAGGTAACTATGGAAAGCAAAAGATTAAAAGGTCAAATAAATAACGATACGTAAGTGTCTGTAACAAAAGAGACTATAATTCGTTGGTGAACCAACGGAAGAAGAGGTAACACGCTTAAAATCTTGATGCGGAGTTTATTCACCTATATGTTTAAGTGGGATTTTAGGACAATAGTTGATGTCGATTCTTGAAGAAAACCCTTTATTTCATTTCAGTCTTCAGTAATAAGGATAGGAGGTCTGTCGACCTATATTAATCCTTGCAGTTTGTAATACTGTGGAGGTCCAATCTCGTTTTGAATATATTAACAGACGGTGCTGATATTACGTGTTCCGGTAGGGAATTCCAGTAATTCACTACTCGGTGCGAGAAACGGAACTCCAGACGTAAACGGTTTGACCTCGGTTTTTGAACTTTCTTCGAATGTCCTCTCAAATGATCGGTTCTAGACGGAAGCAAAAGATAAGACATGTTAATACCAAGGTCATCGTTCAGTATACGATAAGCCAATATTAGATCACCCCGTACTCTACGGTAAGATAACGGAAATAAGTTAAGGTGTCTCAGTCTGTCTTCATAAGATAGGCCAGCTAGACCTTGTACCATCTTAGTAGCTCGTCGTTGGACTCTTTCTAGCATATCTGCTTCATATTTGAAACAAGGACTCGCTGCTTGAATCCCGTATTCTAAATGTGGTCGCACATAAATCGGGTATAGTAATCCAAACATTTCATCATCTAAATACTGGAAAGACCTACGAATTGACCATAATACCCTGTAGCCTTTTGCAGCAGCAGCCTTACAGTGACTAGTCGTTTTGAGATCATTGCTTAATATAACTCCTAAGTCTTTATGGTTTCTTGCTTTGGGTAGCACGAATCCACGTAGTGTATAGTCATACGATTCATCTGAGTTATTTAACTGCATCACTACACTCTTATTAGGATTTACTTCTAGTGACCACCTGTCTAACCATGCCACCAATGAGCTAAGATCATCCTGTAACACTATTCTATCCGACATACTATGTATGGGTCTCCAAATCTTTATGTCATCAGCGAAGAGTAGAACGGATGATTTTGCTACAGTTGGCAATTCATTTACATAAAGTAAAAAGAGAAGAGGACCTAGGATTGTGCCTTGGGGAACCCCACTTTTTACAGGTACCCACGAGGAGAGAGCCCCATTAACCCTTACCCTTTGTCTCCTGTCATGGAGAAAGTTACTTATCCAATCAACGACTGTGTTATGGATTCCAAAACGTTTCAGTTTGAATTTAAGACCAGAGTGTGAAACCTTATCAAAGGCTTTACTTAGATCTATGAAAATTACATCCACAGGAGCATTCCGATCCTTTGCCGCAGCCCACTCTTCTCGTGCGATGAGAAGATTTGTCAAGCAAGATAGGCCTTTCCGAAAACCATGTTGTGCCCTGGAGAAAAGATTTTGCCCTTCAACATAGTTTATAACAGCTGTCCGAATGATTTTTTCCATCAGTTTCACAACTGCACTAGTTAAGCTAACGGGTCTATAGTTACTAACTAAATCCCTACTCCCAGCCTTATACACCGGACTTATTATGGCGTCTTTCCAGTCTCTAGGAAGTCTGGACTGTCTCAGAGACATGTCGAATAGTATCGCTAATGGTTCAGCGATTTCACCTGATATGGCTTTCATAATCCTAGGATGAATATCATCGGGACCACTGGACTTATCAGGTTTGAGATGCTGAAGTAGCCTTAAAACAGTATCTTTCTCAATGACTACAGGATCCATCAGCGAGCCGTCACGGTCACAATGAATCATTGGTCGTTCCTCATTACCGATAGAAAACACTTTACTAAAATATTCCGATAAAGCTTCAGCTTTTTCGGCATCATTCTCTGCTAAGATTAACGGATTGTCTCGTATCAAAAGTGATGGAATTCCATCGCTTCTCTTAGTTCGCCTTTTTATATACGAGAATAACCGTATCGGACTATATCTAGAATCCCTAACCAATTGTTTTTCGTATGAATGTCTAGTCTTGCTTATTAACGCTTTACAGGCATTCCTAATCTTACAATAACTGGATCTGTATTGTTCTAAGCCAGTAGAGATGAACATATTCCAGTGATTCTTCCTTTTTCTAAGGAGTTTCCTGACCGTTTTAGTTATCCATGGTGGACTATTTTTCGGTCTTCGCGGTACCAGGTATGGTATGAACGGGGACGTAACTAGTCTAAATTTACCTTTAAATACAGACCATGCTTCTTCAACTGATATGCTAGTATCTACTAACCAATCTGTCTTAGCAGCGCATTCCTGAATGGCTGATATGTTAGCTTTCCATACATTTGGGCGCGGTGTAACCTGATCGTATAACATGTCCCTAGTTCTAAACGCGAATGACAAAACAGCGTGATCGCTGTTTACTAACGGTGGAAGAATATTTAAGTCGACAATATCCTCAGTCTCATGAGTGATTACCAAATCCAGCAGAGAAGAACCCTGGTTAACACCAAAACGTGTGGGTTGGGATACATGCTGCACTAGTGCATGCTCCATCAATGTTATCAGTAACCTACTATCAAAGGAGTTTATAGATCCTTCTGTGGTCATCTCAGTCCAATTAATATCAGGTGCGTTAAAGTCTCCTATTATCAAGCACCTGGTATTATCACTCCAAAGATGAATGTGCTCTAAAACAAAGTCATCAGCTAAGCAGATTCGGCTCCGATAGATGACACCTAGCATAAATGTACTACATCCTATTGCCAACTTACAGCTAATGACTTCACAAGTGCCGCTATCATGGGATTCGCTAGTAAAGGAGCGGATATTTATGCCATTAGCGATATATAACAGGACGCCCCCTCCTTTTCTACATCTATGTCTATCACTCCTGATGCAATGGTATCCGGATAATTCTGGAGTAATGTCTAAGTCATGGACCAACCAAGTTTCTGTCACTGCTACTATGAGTGGCTTTAACCTGTCTACTAGTGCTTCTAGTTCATAGAACTTATTTCGTAAACTACGAGCGTTGGCATATAAAACTCCTAAGTAGAACAGCCTATCCACACAGGCCTTGGTAGCATTCGCTTCCAAGACCTGACTATCCGAAAACCCACTAACCGGAGATTTTCCTCGCCGTTTTGCCGACGGGTTTCAAGTTCAGCTAGTGCTTTCTTCCTTTTTATTCTATCTTCGAGAGGCATGTCAGGTCTAACTCGGATGTCAGAATTGTCGTGACAACGAGCGCTACTTAACAAGAGATCCCGTTGCTTCTCCGATCCTAGGATTACCTTAAGGAGTCTGCATGGACGGGGTTCAACATTGTCCTCGGTCCTCTTGCCTATTCTTATCAATTTTTTGACCTGAACTCCTTTGGAGTTATCTGGTAAAATACTACGAATGTATTCTCCTAGCTTTTCTAAGTCATGCGCGTGTCTAATTTTCGGATCAGGGTCGTTTGACTCCCGCAATTTGCTCACAATAATATTCGATGTTATTAGATTTTTCTTCTCAGTCACGCCAGGATGGGTTTCACTCTTACCTTCAGATTTTGGTAGTGCAATTTGTGGCTCACAATTTGGGTCCACCAGGGAGTTACTAACTACCTGTGTACTGCTTACAGCTTTTTTCTTTTCTGTTCGTTTCCTACGTACCGTATTCCATTTTTCATCCCTCATAACACTGGGACTATTTGGAATGGTGACTGTTTTATCCAGATCTTCGGTTTCCATTAAAGGTGCATTATTAACAATGTCAGTACCAGATGGTACTACTTCCCCTGTTAATGTCAACGAAGATTCCACTTTTACGTCAGTCAGAGTCAATTTTTTGAGGCGTCGCGTAACAGCAGGTACTACACTGACACATTCGTCGCTGTCAGTGCCCGTGTTGTCGGCGCATATGCCATCCTTCTTTTTACAGGCCAAAGCCAACAGGCTCATAGCCTCCTGTATTAGTAATGCCTTGTTGGCACAGCAAAACATGCAAAGCCAATGTGAGTTAGGCTTCGAGCATCTTTTGTATGCGGTGGGACTTAAGCGGGTGCACATTTTGTGGAACCACTTATGGCATTCGTCACACTGCATCCCCTCTTCCACAGGGAACAAACAGTTTGGTTGCCCACATTTGTGAGTCTTACCAACCATTGTGATTCGATTTAAAAGGTTTAAAAACAAAAATGATAACAATATGAATACAAGTGTTAGTCAAGGACTAAAAACAGGTACCCAGGACAAAATGTAGCAAAAATTTCGAACTTTAACCAAAGAACTCTTAGTTAAAGTAGACCAAGAATGCTTTTTAGTGCAATAAGTACCAAAAGCAAGTATAATCACAACAAGTACAAAATTCACTGCCCTTTTTGAAATTCGCAATACGTCCATCAATCACGTGGATATGTACGCCTAAGGGACATTCTCTATTTCCGAAAAGAACACTTTTAAAGTTAGTCTTTTCGAATAAAGTTAAGGCGTCCCAACAATATAGAATGACTGACCTCAAGGGCAAGTTTGACGCGTGCCCTCAGACGTGACCTAGAAACTCGTTCCAAATTCGTTGCAAAATAGCCTGAACAAAGAACATTAATTTCTGGACAATCAAGCTTCAATCGCTAAAGAATAAAGCGGTAGTAAATGAACTTAACGGAATCCTTCGACGTATAGAATTCAAGGATAAAATATTCCAGTTATTTCATAATTATTAGATCAAAGGATATGCAGTATTAATTCATAAAGTGTTTCCAAAAGTTAGACCAATCTCGATATTTTATTCGTCAAAACATGTTTCCTGGTGATGATAGGAGACGAGGAAGGTCATTTACATACAAGAGGAATAGCACTGGCCCCAAAACTGTACCCTGGGACATTCCACTAAACACAGTTTCCCAGATAGATAACTTTGAGTTCACCCGTAATTTTTGTTGGCGCCCAACTAGTTAAGCCTTCTACCCACATCAGTAGATTGCCTCCAGTTTCGATATTTATTAGACTATATAACGGCTGGCTGTGCGGAACTTTGTCAAAAGCTTTGCTGAAATCAATGTACGCTACATCTACAGGTATTTTTTGTTCCTTAAGAGGGCATCAGCTTTCACGAGCCACTAATAAGTTAGTGAGACAAGAATAACCTATTCTGAAGCCGTGCTGCTCCTCCGAAAGGATCCGGTTTTTATCGAGATACTTAAACAGCTACTTCCGGATAATCTTTTCTAAGATTTTTACAACCACACTAGTTAGGCTAACGGGTCGGTAATTCTCAGGTTTGTGTTTTGTACCTGTTTAGAAGACGGGGTTCACTATGGTGTTCTTCCAGTCTTTTGGTAAACGACTCTGCGTTACGAATAGATTAAAGCATATACTTTAAGGGCTTGCAACGAAGTAAGATAATTCCTTCAGTAGCCTGTGATGTAATTCACCGAACCCCGTGGATTTACCTGTGTCAAGCCTATTTAACAGACCAAAGACATCGAGTTCTTTAATGGTCTCGCTATCCAGCATATGTGTGGGAGGATTTGTATGCGCTGACAGGAAGGGTGCTTCTATGGTATATACACTACTAAAGTAGTTTGAGAACACTTGGGCTTTACCGAAGTCGTCCTCCATTGATGACGAGGCAGTACTGTCTCCCCATAGAGCAGGAACATTTCCTCCTCTCTTTTTCCTTTGGTTCATATGGGAATACAAGCGTTTAGGACATTCTATGGATTCTCTAACAATCTTTTCTTCGTACAACTTTCTAGACTTACGGAGGGTCGAGGCACAAGTATTCCGAGATTTTCGATACTGAAATTTTGTCTCATCGGTCCCCAGTAATCTAAATCTATCCCACATTTTCATTCTCTTACGGAGAAGGATGCAGACCTTCCTACTGAACCATGGTGGAGAGTTTCTCGGCCCCCTTGGTATAGTCCAAGGAATATGGGGTGCAGTAACTTTTAAGTATAAATTTCAAAGTGCGCCCCAAGCCGTTTCAATTGAGGACTCTAAATCTATTGTTCAATTTACTAACGATGCTGAGTGCATGATATCTGGTATGTTTGCTTTCCAGACGTTAGGTCTGGATTGAGCTAACGTGTGCTCGTGATTGATAGTTATACGGAAGTCAAAAGTTAAAACTGAGTGATCACTTTTACCTAGGGGTGGCATATAATGGAGATTCGCAACGTCATCCTCATAATGAGTTAATATAAGATCTAGTAAGGATGATCCACAGTCCGGGTCGTACCTTGTCGCTTCATTCACATGTTGCACTAAGACACATGAGATAACCGCATCAACTAGTTCCTGCTCGAAGTAATTATCTGACGATTCAGTTCGCAAATTTTTCCAGTCTACCATAGGTGCATTGAAGTCCCCTAGGATTAAACATTGAACACTTTGTGACCAAGTATTGAGACTGCTCAGCAGGACCTCATTTACCTCACAGCTTGGACTGTGATTGACCGAACCAATCAGCAGTTCTTGTCCCTTGCATTTCAAGCGGCAACTAACTAATTCACACGTCTCACTCTCATGGGATACACTATCGATAATGGCAAATGGGGTAGCATTCCCAAAGAATAGAGCTACTCCTTCTCCTTTGCGCTTTTGTGTTCTGTCGGCCCTTACTAACGTGAATCCCTCGAAATCAAGTTCCATACTATCTATAGACTGTGTCAGACAGGTTTCTGTGACTGCGATTATGTCTGGCTTTGTAGAGTCAATATGTAAACCTAGTTCCGATCGCTTATCGAGTAAGGTCCGGGCATTAGTGTAACAGATCCGAAGCCTGTTTAGGTGGCTTCGTGCTTCACCCAGGGTTGCTTCGGCATCATTCTCTGTCGAAGACTTACAATCCGAAAATTTACAATTTTTATACTTTTCGCCAATGTCTAACCTAAGTTGTAGTTCTTTCTCGGCTTCCCGTCTTTTAACACGGTCTGCCAACGGTAAGTCTTTTCGTATAAAGACTCCTGAACCCTTTAATTTATGTCCATTTTGTAAAATTAGGTCGCGTTCATCCGAAGATTTGAACACTACTTTAAGCAGTCTGGATTGATTGGGCTTCCAGTTCGCTAGACTACCTAGTCTGTACACATTTAGCAAGGTGACTCCGGGTATATTTTGAGGCATGAGTTGATTAAGTAGCTGTTTTATCGGCACAGTGTCATGCTCAAAACGATTTTCTGGTCCAGAGCTTTCACCCTCCTTGATTCTATGAAAAATAACTGATCTGTCACTGCGATCAGCCTTCGATTTCTCGACTACTTTTACGGAGGCAGGATTCTCTTTTTTATCGTTATGTTGTTTCTTCCTTACAACCTGTACCCATTCGTCGATGTTGCTTGGAGAAGCAACCACAGTCGCGTCAAACATACTGCTGGCTTAAAGCAGACGCTTTTAAGGCATGCTTCTTCATGTTACGACACATTGCGGGTTTCCGTTATCTTTCGTTGTGGTTAATTTAAACAGCCTATTGCAGCAATCGTAGGAGGTTTGGCAGATTTTAATTGGATTGTATGTGTCACGTGTACCCTCTTGAACCGACAGATATAAAAAGCAGACAAAGGATTTGTTGCCATTCTGAGTGTCTTCTACATTGCTGTCTTTATTACTTGAGAAAAAAAGTGAAAAATGTTAAGTGTATGCTGAAGTACAATTTTGCTTGCATATGAAGCAAATCTTGAGAAACAACCATCACACGCGTACAAACACTATGTGATAGCTAAAAAATGTACACAAAGTAATATCATAATCTTTTGTGAGAGGAGAACAAAATACCCATGAATAGAAATATCTCAACTGTGCAAACTTTTTGGTTTTGTTTTTGATACAAAAATAAGAAAAACCGAATAGCTGTAGGAGGCAAGAACTTATGACATGCTCTGTATACAGTAGTCGTTCACGTGCTCTAGAAACAATACTGTTCCTCCAGAGCGTTCGTCTTATACCGGTCATCAGATATCAACGAAGATTCGCCGTGGTATTTAACTATCAATGGTTCGACTGCAGTCATGAATATTGTGTCGCTTGATTTTTTCATGTGAAATTTGGCATAGACGAGGTTTCCTTCTATGTAAGTGGCCTTAAACCGATTGATGTTCATGTAAAACTTGGTTCCATCCTTATTAATAACATAGTACCTAGGTTAGCGATGAAGAACACCGTAAGGTCCTTCAGATGCAGTTGCGAGGGGTCGGTGTAGTGAGTAGCGATTTACGGAAACCTGAGTACTAAGCCATAAAGTGGATTCGGATAAAATACCAGTAGCTTGCATCTGAGCAAAACACAGGTTCAGCTGAACTCATAACGTTCGTGATTGTAGTGGCATTAGGCTTTAATCACACAATCCTCAGAGCTGAATGCGAGACAACAGGGAAAATAGATAGTCAACATTTAACGCGTAGAATAACCCAACGATGGAATAAGTGCGAAGAGTAAATAAATTCATTCGAAGTTCAAATTCATCGGATGGCATGGCTCGGCCTCGCAGGTGTTGTCACTCTTGAGTGTCGTGTTATATCTTTTATTCATATTAAATATATTGTTGGACCTCTAGCCTAAGCTTGTCCTCCATCATATATCTATGACTGTTACAACGCAATGAATCAGGGTAGACAATGATGTGAAATCCACGTAAGATCTTATAGATCAAGCAGTTACATCATAACGAATCTGCAATTTTGGAATTAGGTCTATTAATACGGCAGCGTTAATATCGAAGTAGACCATAATTCTACATGATCATATCAGTATCAAACATTAACAAGGGTTATCTACTCCACGTGATCAATGGGATGGATTTTCTTTGTGTCGAGCTCCCTTAGGGATTTTGGGAGCATTATCGGTGATGATGAATTTTAAGAGGACGAAAGAGTTTGATGGAGGTATGAAATTATATTTTGCAACGTTTGAGACTTTTTGTTGACAGAACAAACCTTGATATTGGGGGTTCTGATGATCTCCAGAATCCGATCGGCAAAGGTGGCCGGTTCATCTACGCCTTTGTTGAGATAGCTTGAATAGAGAGAGTTGTTGAGAAAGGATTTCATTGAAGGTTCGTGATCAATGATCTTTTTCATATGCAGCAAGATTTCTATCACGAAGCCATGTTTAGATTCGATATCGTAGAATAGGTGGTCTTGTAAAATAATAGACTTCTTTGATATTGGTACACTTATTTTCATTACTGTACTAATAGACCAAATCCTAAAATTGTAAGTACATCATGATGTGACTACCCGATCTATAAGACGTTACGTGGAAGCCACAACATTGTCTACACTGAATCTTCCTATCATACGGATCAGCACTATAACGTCTAGCACTTCTAAAGAACACTTTTGGGCTGGTTAAATGGTAATGTATTCAGTACAATATGCAACAGGTTTTACATAGAGTGACCCGTCCTACATAGCCGAGCCATGCTATTTCGACCAACTGTTCCCGCCTTCACTATCACCGACATTCTCCAAGTGTTGTATGTTGGACGTCAGTCTTCTCAGTAATTATATGTCCAGCTTCCACTAAATTGGTGATTTATG